TAGATATATTATTGTTATCTAAAGTAAAATCTGGTTTCCTTTTACTTTGTTTATATCTTGACATTTTATAAAAGAAAGAATTATCATAAATATCTATCCACGGCAAATTATTAATGAAAACGATAACGTTTTGTTGATCAAATTAAAACAATAATCATATTACCATAAATAGTAAAAAAAATATGCAGCCAATATGCAGCCAAATAATCGGCCAGGTCAATTAAGAAGAGTCAACTTGTTTCACTAATTAAAAATTATGTTCCTAAAATTTTATACTTTGCGCAATGCATGACAAAAGTAAATACTTTATTAAATAACTCTACTGATTCTCAAAAAAATACATATCTGTACCTTTTTATTTAGACGCTCCTACAGACAGAAGGATTCACAAAATCCAAAACATTAAACAATGCGCTTCTCATAAATATGCATTAACAAAATGATTAATTTATAACTAACCAGAATTTGGATTCGAAAAGAATTGCTTGCGACATTATGCTCCATAGAATATTTGACTTTAGGTTAAAGAAATGCTGTTCCTGTCTTCAAAGTTTTACACTACCTAAGCATATTAAACCATTAAAATTTATACTTAAGTATGATACTCTACTCACTTCTTTTTCGTTAGAAATAATTTCTTCTGAACGAGTTTTTTCGCACTCCTCGTTTACTCGAGTCAAAGTCCAATACCGTTCCACGTATGAACTATTTATCATTGTATCAAATTTGCGAAGCATTTCCTGTGCCTTGGATGATAGCTCGCCATTTTCGGACGCAACCTCTATTCCAAAATTTTAAAGAACTTGACAAATTCGAATCCTCTTGCAAGGGTACTCCTCAAAACTTTACTACAATCAACCTAATCACAAGCGTAAGTAAATAGGTCATTATTTCTTTCACGAAACAGTAGGAAAAAGAGAAAATACATACCATAGTTTAATAGCTTGCAAAAGGCAAAAAGAAAAAGGCAAATAGTATTAGCAGTTTTATTCGAATAGCAAATATTACACTAAAACAATAACATATTAGCAAGTAATCATCCGGTGACAACACCAGGAAAGTACGAAACCATACAAGGCTTTACAGGCCACACGCACGGACAATGCATTTGCTTTTTTAATAATGTCCCAATTTAGGTAACAACACCAGGAAAGTACGAAACCATGCAAGGCTTTACAGGTCAACTAAATGGTATAAGAGTACAAAATAATACTTGTACCTTTAACAGAAACTTATTAATGTAGACGATAGTATAAAAACAATAGATAGAATACGCATCTTCATTTTATATAAACTCATCGAGATCACATGGGGCTACATATCTGTACAACCATATGCCGTGCGAATTTTTTTAAAAATATTTTTTTAATGCTATAAATTACAATGTAAAAGGCTGGCCTGTAAAATTATTCGTGAAGTAAGAACAAAGAGGAAGGAATAAAGTACGTTAAAACATACCTGCTCAGACCCCTAAGTCTTAAGATGGCAGTTTCTTTCCCTACTCCTCACTAGCTATCACTATTATTATCATTATTTTTATCTAAAATTATATTGCTACTACTTGAAAAATTATTATTTCATGGGAAATGGCTCTCTGAGCCTCTATTGTTATTACTGCTACTACCACTAATAATAATCAAGTTATTTTTTTTCCAGTTTTCTTTTTCAACCCAGGTTTCAATTTTATCTAATGAAGTGTATTGTGATACTCTCTGGTTAAAAATAGGTTCCTAAATTATTTAATATATAAAATTTTGCAGATCAATTATGTTCCTTTTGAAGGGACATAATTCTTTATTCATTATTTTAATAGGGACATAATTCAAAAAACATTTGAATCAAGTGATCTAAATTGCAAAAAACCTTTATAAGTAGTTTTTTTTTAATTTTATATTTAAAAAAAAATTTTTTTAATAGTAAGAAACATTTAAATTATATTATTGCTTTTAATTTAAGAATATATCTTTATTTCTAGTATTGATAAAAAGTAACAAGTATGGTTAAACTAAAACTAATTTCTAAAAAAAAGACATTATATATCTGTGTGGAGAAATATTTCTCTCGTTTTTTTCTTTTATCGAATATAGTTATAAATTCAATTAAAAAGTTTCTGTCTTATCAGAATATTTAAATCAATAAGATTATACAGATACTTGCCCTAAATGATGAAGCTAGTACATTAGTATCAGTTGAGTAAATATAGCAGGACTAGTATCTTAACACTTAGTTTCATATGTCAAAATTTGCAAATATCTCACAAACCTTTATTTCAAGCTTCAAACATCCATTTTACTTCAGTTTTTATTTGTGCAATTTTGTTTTGTAAAGTTAAAATATCTTGTTTGAGTTTTTGCATAACTGAATCGATCGTAATAGAAATTGAAGTTGAATCCAGAACTGGAAATACATTTTTTTGAATAAATATACTATAAGTAAAATTGCAAGGATAATATATACTATTATATTTTCCTGAATAATTGTATAAAGCATCTCTATTGTCAAAATACCCTAAGCATATAATTCGTGAATTGTAATTACAGCAATAAAAATTAATAATAAAAAAATATCATATATATTATATGTTATTTTGCAAATAATTGTTTTGTAATTGATAATTTGATTTGTTTATTTGTTTAATTTATTACATGATTATTTAATGATTGCTTTGATTTTTTATCCATATTTCTCGATTTTGATCTGTTTTTATATATTAAAATTCAGCATTAGCTATTCATAACATTGGTTCTTTATTTTTTATACTAAATCGAAGTAATAAATTGCTAGTAATCACAAAATATGATATCTTGTATTATTTATGTCAATTATTGTGCATTGAGTAATCACTTATTTATAAAATCATTTGTGTATATATTATCGATAATTAACAATTCCTTATATGTACTATACAATTCTTGTTTGTTATTATATATCATATAGAAGTTGTATCTTGCTTAATACTTATATCTTTAGATTTGATAATTTAAGTCAAATAAATTCCTTTAAAGTATTTATTAGAAGATAATGAAATCATACCCCACTTAATCCTTTAGTCTAAGGCATCTAACAATATCACTTTGATATCTGTTCGATATCAGTTCAATACTTAAATTTATTATAAATTTATATGAGTAAGTTACAACCCATATATTAAATTTACTATAAATCAATACCATTTCGATACTACTTTGGTATCAGTTCAATACTTTTCAGAGTCCTACTTTGGTCTTTAAATTTGATAACTTATATCAATCAAGGATTATAACTTTGAAACATTTATTAGAAAGTATATAAATGCATCTTATTCTTCTTTAATCTTATTCTTGAGAAATAACCAAAAATGTAATATAATAAAGGTAATTTATAGAATACTAATATAAATTCTGGTTCCAAAAATACCTATTGTTTCTTAAATAGTTGAATCAATAGATTAGGTAGTTTAAATTAGTGATAGGACTTCTACCTTTTAAATAGATCCTTCTCAAAAATATGAATTCACTTCAAGAATGACATTAGTATTGTTAAAGTAATAAAGTAAAATAGGTTAATATTTAGTTATAGTTTAGCATTACAGATAATGTTTGATATAATTGTAATATTATATATATATCAATAAATAATTGATATTTAATACCTATTCTATTAAAAAAAAATAGTAACAACTTATTCAAAGAACAAATAATTTATTAATATATTAATAATTCTATAGAAATTTTAATTATAATTAAAAATTATATATATATTATAGTTAACTTATTAAAATATTTCTGATAACTCTTTTCCGCTCCCCTCAAATTTTTGAAAAACTTCCTTTTTAGGAAATCTAACGAGACATGAATGGAGGACATGTCAAGTTATACCTTTCTTTAAAGAAACTTTTTCCCTTCCTTTACCACTATCGAGGATAAAAACTCTTTCCTAGAGTAGGCCTGTCAATTTATTTAAGATTGATATTTCCCCTCTCCAACATGGAAAGTTACCTCTGCCAACATTGACACAACACTTCTTCTATACCCCAAGACCTGCTACACATGAGCAAACTTTAAGAGTTTGATTGAAAAGAGTCAAGCTGCAGAAGGATGGGACTCTTGGTTGAATTCTTCAAGACTTGGGACACCTTGTTGATAAAAAGTGCATAGAGAAAGGCCTTTGGTTTGATATCTTTTTCGCTCATACACATAGATACAAATTTTCTCACCAAAAACCGAAATCAGTTTACCCCCATCAAACGATCGACAATATTCCTTATCCAATCATATCTCACGAAAATCGCACCATCCAACATCATAATAACAACAACAACAACAATAACAATTATCACGTGTTAATATTAAGTAAACAACTTTGAAGAGATCAGTGATGTGGACACTAACGTATGGCGCTATCATGGCTTTTAGACGGCTTACCGATTATATAGGAGTTGCGTCCTGCTTGGCAGTTTTGCCCCTAGATTTGGCAGCTTAAGCCAACTGAATCCTTTGGAGTGTCTACTAGGAGATTTTGGAGTCACGTCCCACTTGGCCTTAGAGCCCCTAGATTTGGTAGTTTGTGCCAACCAAAGATTACAGATTCAGAGCATTTACTAGGAAGTATATAACAACGTTTAATCCCCTCTGAACCCATAGCTGCGTGAGCCGAAGTTGTAATGTGAGAAGTTATTTATTAAGTATTAACATGTAGTTTATCATTTCCGGTTGGGTCTGAAGTCATTACTATAAATAG